CACTTGGGTTGAGCAGGCTGAAGTGAAAAAAAGAATCTAGACAGAAATTATTCTAATATTTTGAGAAATAAACAATTCTGATCCGCTGCTACAGGAATGCATGAAAAAAGGCCACACCGCCATGAGAATGTTTTTCAGGAAACATTTTCCGCATGTTTATAAAAAAAATTGGACTTTCTTTGGACTTGGGCCTCGGTTCAAAATTTATATTTTATTTTTATTTTTTCGTTGCTCAAAGCAAGAATGCCCCAATTTCGCTGCGCAAGGGTTAATTGCTTCCAATCATGTTCTTTAGCTTTTTTCACATGAAAGACGCGGAAATCAAGCCATTAAAAAGCAGGACAGTGCTGGTCGAAGGTATTTCGTGCGGTGACAGGGATCATAAAAGTGCCAACGCTGGCGAGAAGACAAGATTATATCGCATGGCCGACGGATTCATCACGTGGATCGGCAAAGCTGTCAACGCACTGACCGACGTTATGTGAGTAAAAACTCGGGGGGCTGGAAAAACTGTAGGCGATTTTCGTCCAAGTATATCTATTCATTCTTTTTTTTGTATCCACATTATTATTATTTTATATCTTCGATGAACAGGAACGGAGGCAAACATCGTGTCAACGTCACGACGGAATCTTCATTACCTGGTTTCCGGGGCTCATGACACTGTCGGAGACCCGGATTTATTTTTGCCAGAATATCGATCAAACTGGGGGTCGAAGGAAGACAAATACTTACCCTATATGACGGGATATTTTCGATGTACGATATTACCAGTATTACCAGCCCCACATATTTCAGGAAATAATGTATTTTCTTAGCGAACCCACGAAATCGCATTAATGATGATTCATAGTTTTATTCGGTGGAAAATTTTCACGAAGTTATCCAAATCTTCGAGTTCAACGACATTAAATGAACTTCAATAATGGCATGTTTTGATTCTAAATTGAAGCAATATATATGCACTGATAATTCGAAAAGGACATTTTAGATTCATTTTTAAACAGCGCCCTTTCAAAGACTGCGATTTAGTTGAAAAGCTGAGCTGAACCTGGAAAAATTGAATCAAATAGATTGACCCAACACAAAACTTTTACATTTTGCATGGTTTACGACAGGTATTCGAATTTCAAAATTTTAATTTGAAAAATATGTAATGCCTTCATTGGTATACAGTATTTTCATTCGATGGTCCATACAATAGTACAGAAATGTAAACAATGGAAAAGTGAATTCATGATTTCAAATTGAGACAATTTCTGAATTGAGCATCAACATTTTAGCATATGTATTGCCTTTGCACATAATATGAAAATGGATGTTTTAAAGCTATCTGCTCCTAGAATGGAATTCGGGAGACTTAGGTAATTAAGGTTTAAATACCATTTTAAGAAATTGGCAAAATAAGTACAACTGGATGTTTTAAAATTATTTTGCTAGCTGCTTATATTTGCTGTACAGTATCGACTCTTTGTCTTAAAATTACAAATTAGGGTCAATCTAGAATTTCAAAAATCCAGTGTAAGTCTCAATATTTTTGCTCATGAGTTTCCTCTTTTCAAGTCAGCATCCAGCTAATAAAATATTCCTCATGCCAGAAAAGGTAAGAAATAAGATTTTGATACTTTTGACTATTTCATGAGAGGAATTTGAGAACTGAAATGTTGAAATTACAGTGAGACCCCAGTACAAGGGGTACCTTGCTTTTTGAACCAAATTCATTGCCAAACTAGGGTCAAATTAAAAATCAGTTGAATTGCAATAAGACACTCCATCAAATTTAAAATAAAAGTACAAAAACGCAAAAAAGGAAAAGCAGGTCAAATTTTGGGGCAAGGGTCAATAGTTACTGTCAACCTCCCTGCAAATTTGAACATTGAATTGCAGGATGGTAAAATTGCAAGGTACCATCTGCATGTGGACACCACAACATATGAACAATTTGAGTTAGGGAGAATTGAAAGCCTAAAGAATCAGGCCCAAAATCCAAACATTGACTCAAGTTATAGCGGCACTTCTCTGAAATTTTCAAAGAGAAATAATTTTTTTTAATTTTATGTCTTTCAAAGTAATCAAGCTATTCATAATCACAAAATTGCAGATATATTTCAAATAAATTCACTGTAATTCATGATCAAAAGCCAGCTGATTTTGTGCTTCTTTTTTCAGAGTTTTTTTCTAAAAACTGTGCATATTCTAGGGAGACATATTCTTCTTCTTTGCTTATTGATCTCCTCTTGATACCAAAAGAGCACATTCTATGTGGTTGTTCTGCACTGTTGTTTTCTACATCTTGAAGTTGAGGGAAACAGTTTTTCATCCATTTTTGATGACTTATTTCTAATTTTTGACAAAAAGGGAACCAATTAAATGCATTAACATTGAATTCCACAGGAAAATGAGACTCAACTAAGGGACATTATGACATGACACTCTTGATGCTCCAATTAGGTCAGCATCTTGTGGTACTCTCACTGTATTGCCAGAGAATAATTGAGTGATTCCACATCTCCTGCTTCCAATCCCAAGAATCATCAGTTGTTCTGTGACTTTGAACCTTGAATGAGGATAGAAACTGCAATTTTATTCTTAAATACAGGAGTCAATCATATAATATGTGCCTTTTTCTGAGTTCTCACCCCCTTAAAAAAAATAACTTTCTCAACAGAAGACAAAGCAATTTCAATTTATATTATGTGCTTATTGTACATGAAGTTATTTTATTGACACGTTTACGAATGAGTGTGTTTTATACTAAACCCTAAAACTGTAATCTTATGGAATCCAAAGATATACAAATATTCTTCAGATTTCAATTAAATCGTGACAAGCATCACCGATTGGCGAGAAAGCCTAAATAACCGGCAATTTCGGACACCACGTGAATATTCTTACCCAATAAGGAATAAGCCAACAACAAGGAGTTCAGCAATTCTATAAACACGCCGGAAAAAAATAGTGCATTTTCCCCAATTATTGCTGAAAAACGCAGTACTCTACTGTACATATCTAACTATAATCAACCTCCAGTAGGTATAAAATGAATCGAGATTGAAAGGCGAAGGTGACCGCGGTCAAACAGGACACGATCGATCGACGTCACACACACATAGCACACATATTATGCGTGAAAATTCGATGTGAAAGAATCTACGCGTTGGCGGTGATTGATCAAGAATAAGGAAAAACCCCCGTTGGATTTCAATGTAGGCACACGGCATTGTTGTCCCAGGCTAATGAGGCCTCGAAAGGCGGAACATACCGACCCCTGTTTTCCTTTTTCGCAGAAATGACCCGGATGGCGGAGGAAAAGTGATGGGAAAAAGTGCACAAGGTCGCGAGTCGTTGTCACGATTGATTCCATCGTTTCTGACAAGTCTGCGGGGGATCAATAACGAGACCCGAGTAAATCTGTATGGACCCCTGAAAATTTGGAAAGTCGAACAAAAAGTAAGCATAAAATGCATTTTTTATATTCGAAATTTCAAGAAACTGCTGCAAATTTTTTTTTTGGCCACACTGCCGGCGGAACAATTTAAAAATTGTATTCTCAATTGGAAATAAATTGCAAGTGCTAATTAATTGCACAAAACGCAGATCATATTTCATGATTTTTCCCTGAAGAAAAAAGAAAGATTGGAAAAGGAGCAGTGCTGCACATTTAGCAGAAATTCTGCAAGATTGAGTATCTGTGCAAAATAAAATACAGTCAACCCCCCCACACAATGGACTTGAATTGTGCATCAGACTAGTCTGTTGTGTGAAAAGTCTGTTATGCAAATTATATTCTTTAAATTGTATTTTTTGTTTTTTCCATTAATTTCAAAGCAACAGAAGTCTGTTTGGCAGATTTAGTTCATTGCACAGGAGGGAAAACTAACTCCAGACACAGTCTGTTGTGCAAAAATTTGTTGCGTGGGAGGTTATTCTTTGTGCAGGGGTCAACTGTATAGATCCGCTTTGTCTGTATAATTCTGCATAAATTTTTTCAGGCCTTTCTACGTCTTTGCTCTTGGTATTTTTCCTTTCTCAAACTATAACAACCTGCTATGGAATTGGGTTTTTCTTAGCAAGTTCTCACATTTGGAAACTGACTTTGAATTCCTTTGCAAAGCTTGAGAGAACTGCGCATAATATTTCTTAACATTTCAGATTCATTGAAGCGCCAATTTTATAAACTTTTACGATTCGAAAAAAGATGTAAGCTGTTGAAAAACTTCATTTTTTTCTTCTAAATCAGTGTTACACAACCTTCTTGGACCCAGAAAATTTATGTACATTTTTTTGTGGAACAGCAAACTTCCAAGCAAAAAAATCTGTCAACCGGCAAAGTTTTGTAAACTTTCTGCAGACTCAAACATTTTTTGTTTGAAAGACTGTATGGCACGTACTATGAGAAGCGTCTGCTTTAAAAAATTGAATTAAGAACTAATGAAGCCGCTATTGTGGAATGTCTTTACACAAAATTGGGCTTGAAAAAAGTTTTCTCAGAATGAAAAATGAAAATAATGTATTTCAGCAGGTTAAAGTTTGCCTTAAGTTTCATTAGGAGGAGAGCCAACTTTCATTAATCATCAGGTAATTTAAACTGTCTCTCTATATTTCCAAATGAAGATAACATACTTCATTGCTACTCTTCATAAATTTAAAATGCTGAAGTAAATTTCCTTCAGACCCACAAAAAGCTTCTCCTGACCAATGCCAGTCCACAGAAAAAGGATTGAGGAGCACTGTTCTAAATTATATAAAAAAAAAAATGTTCTGTGCCAAAAGCAAAGGTTGACCAAGAATGGAGTTATTTTTCAAATGACCATTGTTGCAAGTATAGTAGGGTTCGTGGAAGCATTGTCACGTGCTTACGCCTGAAATGTACATAAATCGCGTGATATTCGGCGCATTATTGTGTAGGAAAAAGGATCGACTTGAAAAGGGGGGGCGGACAAGGCACAACTGTTTTCGCACCCAAGAAAAACCCTGGGGTCGCATTATTCGAGGTTCAACATCAGTTGGTTAGTTCAGCACAAGCACTGACCGTGAAGACTTCGAGTTTCTCTGCTTGGAGAAACCGTCATGATGACGGTTTTATCGGCTCAAACCGTGATTTTGGCAGTCATCGTCGTCTCCGCAAATCCGGGATGGTGTCAATCGAATCAAATGGCTTTCAAAATGACTAAATTCCCGGGAAATACGACTGTTCAATCCTTGGCTTTCCAGCCGACTGCGTTTTTGACTGTGCTGCCAAACGTGAGCATCGTCGCTTGCGGATCATCCTGCATTGGTAAATTTATTCACGTAGCTCGCGAATAAAAGATTAAAGATTTAGTCAGATCTTTAATAATTTTAAAAATAACTTCATTTTTTTCTTGTAGTTATACTTATTTTAATACTAAAATAAATTATTTTTATTCGTTTGCTATTATTATAATATCATACTTTTCATCATTGTCTTTTCTTAGTAATGTAATTCAGTATTAAACTTTCATATTTTTTTGAGTGTTCAATAATTTCTATTTTCCTAATGATCATAGGATGATGGTACCAGCAACCAGAACGTCTTCAAACTAGTCTTTATTTACTTTTTTATACTCTATTTGATTCTTTCCCTTGATTAATTTGTTTATTAAAAATAAATCTTGATTTTTAAAGAAATTTTCAATTTTTATAGAATAGAAATTTTTTTAATTGAAATTATTTCATTTTTATTCATGTTTGCTTTCCTAAATAAATATGCAAATATTTTCAGCTGGTAGTTATTGTTACAGGTCATTTTCGAATTTTTTTTATGTCCTTTCTTAGCTGTTGGGACTTGCAATTCGTTCAATTGGGTTGAAGGATCTCCTGCCAGCTTTGGCAGGTGCGAAATCATAAATGGCAGCACTTGGACGCCGAGTTTGTTTGTGTCGCGGACAACCGAGTCGAGCAAGTTTTTCGTCAATGAAGTTCTGTCAAAGACCGATGGCTATTATGTCATCATTCCGGCCATCAACCAGGACCCCGTAAATTTAGACAACCCCAGCATAGTGAGAATTTTCTGTATTTTCAAGCGGTGAATAATATCATTGGGTGTATAATTGAGCGCCAGAAAGGAGAAACTGCGCGCGACCCAACTCAACGTCATATATCTCTGTGAAATATTTCTTTGAGAGTCTTTAAAACGTCAAATTANCAAAGACCGATGGCTATTATGTCATCATTCCGGCCATCAACCAGGACCCCGTAAATTTAGACAACCCCAGCATAGTGAGAATTTTCTGTATTTTCAAGCGGTGAATAATATCATTGGGTGTATAATTGAGCGCCAGAAAGGAGAAACTGCGCGCGACCCAACTCAACGTCATATATCTCTGTGAAATATTTCTTTGAGAGTCTTTAAAACGTCAAATTAGCAATATTCTGGAAATAATTACCACGTGTACGTTTATCCCTAGATATCCTTAAAAAATTTTGGAGTGCGAAAAAAATTCAGTTGTGAATTTTTTCCTGAAAAGCTTTCAAACTTTTCCTGATTTTGTCGTAGGTACATAAAATTAATTAAAAATACTAGAAAATAAAAAAAATAGCATATTCAGGTTCAAGCGGGAGGTGAGTTCGATTGTATAAAGTTTTGTTCATTCCAAATCCACGAGAAGACAACCAAAACAAGTATAAGAAAAGGGTATATGACACAGATGATTAAAATTCAAAGTTTACATTTCCTGACAAAATTCAGAAAATAAAAAAATAATTGACTAAACACTGGAGCGTGTGTGTCAGGCCAGGAGTATGTTTTTTTTTTTTTTTGCTTCAGATTCACCTGGAAATTCCAAGTGGCTACTCTACCTGTTGGCACCTGCTATTACTTGAGTGAAAAAAGTACTTTACTAACCTTTTAAAATGTTCATGATGGTCTTTTGAAGCAACAGCAAGAATTAATCGCCGTATTTAATGCTTGCACATAAAAAACATTGACCGCTTCCATTCAATTTCAAGCATTGAAATTTCAAAATGTTGAGGAGATGGTTGCATTTAAATTATCTTTTATGTATATACATCAGATATACAGTAACATGATCAACACAATATAACAGTAATTTCAAAGCTGAGTTGGTTGTATACGTGGTGCTGATGTTTAGTTGAGCTTTGAATCCCTTTGACCCATGATTGTATTTTTTCAGAGAAAAATAAAGATGCGGAAGTTATTCAAACATTATAAAAATGCAATTATACTACAGTAAATGTGTGCAAAATTACAAACCCTGTCAATGATTGCCCAGTTTATCATCTAAAAATTGGGGACATACTAAATCTCAAATTGAAAGTCAAGGAGAAAATTAATGCGTTTCTTTCTGCAATATCACTTCTGTTGAGAAAATAGTGGAACTAGGATTTATGTAGTGCAGTACATTTGCTTTGCATATGGGGGTTGCAGAAAAATTCAGGAACGTGTCCTGCTGAGGAAGTGGAATTACATTGTAATTTCAACATCAGATTATTGTTGTCAAGCCTCTCCTGAAATTACATTGTGAAAAAAATCGTCCCATTCTCCACAACTGGCCCAACATGGTACTGCTAAAAAATCCTGAAAGTTGTCAAAAAAAAATATTGTTTGAAGAAAAATGGATAAATCTCATACATTGGTCATGGAAAACTGTTGTTTCTTTATAACTGGAACAACCTTGTCTGCCTGAACTGGAATACTGTCAGCAAGAGAAAAATGGAACTACATCACCCTTAATGAAGTTCTTCCCTGCTTCCTTAAAATTAGACTCCTGGGACAAGAATTCCAGGATAAATTGCTGTAAAACAAAAACTTATTGATTATTGATTATTGTGAAGGGCTTGTGCATGGGGTTTTCATACTCTACGTAGACTTTATGGAGTGTATAATTTTGACCTAGTTAAGTCTTTGAGTAAGTCTTCAAGTGTTTGTGGTATCTCCTTTGTATGTCATATGCCCAAATATGAAATGTTATGCAGAGCCTCAATGTCTGCAACCTAGAAATAAATTTGTTGAGGTCAGTTTGTTTTTGACGACTTGGACGTTTGGTTTTTTGTACATCATATCCCCAACTTCTCACTACATTGATTCAAAAAAGTAGTATAAATATTAGTTTTTAGCACATGAGTGGAGAACTGCTCCTCCACTCATGTCACATGAACTTTTTTTTTTACCCTGTTCCAAGTCCCTGCTTGTATAAGGAAGGGCCAGTCTGCATACAACAAGATTTTTCCATATTCACATTACCAGGAAAGTCCAGTTTTGCCAGACAAGGTTGTTCCCATTTCAGTGGGAAAAAAATAGTTTGACAATTTTATTCCAGTTTAGCAGAAAAATGAAATGCCAAAATGCAATGCTATTCCTGACAATGATATTCCTTGACAAGATTAAATCTTGACAACATTATTCCAGAGTGAAAGGTTAGGGCGTGCAACGTTATGATCCAGCCACCCATCCCGCCTTTCATTTTATTTTTTCCAACAGCCATGGAAGACTGATTGCAATGCGCAGAATGGAACCATGGGAGGCTTCATAGTTGGCATGAGGAACAATAGAACCGAGTCAGCTTTCATAGATAATTTCAAATGCAGGGTATTCAAAAACGGGTTTTCAATGACGTCTGAGCCACCAAATTTGGTCAACTATGCATCATATCCCAATGTCAATATGACTTGTTTACCAGGATGGGTGAGAAATATTCAATTATCACCCAGGCACCAATTTGCAATTCACATATACTGTACAGTGGGGTCTTGGTTAACAAATACCCTGATTAACAGACTGTGTTGTTAACAAACTTTGCCCATTGGCTTTGGCTGCCTTGGATAACAAACCCTGACTTGATTTACATACTTATTAGAAGATTAAAAGTTGGGCCTCCTAAAATGCTACCCCTTTTGAGTTTGAAATTGGTACCATATACAGTATTTCCCAGCAGTTGCTATTTCTGGTTTTTGTATACAGGATTGAGGTTAGAATAACAAAATTTCATCAAGAGAGTCTTACTCCCCACCTCTCATCCAGAAATTTTCTTTTGTGAATGTTTCAGTGTCAAATTCTTTTCTTGACCCAGACCAGACCCCTTATACAGTGAGACCCTTACATATGGACACCCCAACCTACTCATCACTCAACTTATTAAGAACATGTAAGATTTAAAAAATCTGACGAGGCATCTGGATGATGACTCAAGATTTGGGATTTTTTCTAACATATAGACAACTGAAAGGTTCCCCCTTTTTAAAATTTGGCTATCTCTTGAACACATTTTCAGTTCTTTATTTTTTTAAATTTGGTAAAAAATGTTTATGAATTTTCACAAATTCATACTCAAAACAGGCTAATTTGCGTTTCAATTCCTGTTTTTTTTTATCTGTGGGTTATGTTGCAAGACTTGCTCTTGTTTTTTTTCTTGCTTCTTGTGCTCCTTTTGATATCAAAAGATCAGTTTTGAGTGGTTTCCTCCTGCACAGGTGTATTTTTGGTACTTTCCTGTTATCTCAGTACCCATTTTTGTTTGTCTCATGAATTCAGTATTTGTTAGGTTAGGTTAGGTCAGATTATGTTAATTGAAAGATATTTGTAACTAACATAAACAACCACAGAAGGACACAAAGTACTCAGAGGTACACGTAATCGCGCTAAGACGCAAGTAGGAATTCACAGCTAGGTAAATCCGCACGCTCTCGGTAGCAGCACTCGAGATCTAATAATTCTTCCTCCCGAAGCCCCGCAGGCTTTGGGAGCCGGCGATCGCTGCCGGAAATGGCTTTCTTTGTTCTTGACCCGGTTTACCGCAATGCGGTAAACCGGGTGCCCTATCCGCTTCCGGGTTGGCGTCTTGGAGTTGCTGTGCGGTATACCCGAGCGAGGATGCTGCGCTCGGGTTGCCGCGTGAACGCGACCCCACATCTCAGTACCCATTTTTGTTTGTCTTGTGACTTCAGTATTTGTTAGCTTAGGTTAGGTCAGGTTATGTTAATTGAAAGTTATTTGTAACTAACATAACCTGACCTAACCTAACTTTACCTATAACTGCCTCCCAAAATCAGTTTCAGCAGAATGTGGAAAAATGAAATTCACAGTTTCTGGTAGGTGCACACAAAGTACGTACTGGGATAACAGGAAAATACCGTATTTTTTGCACCTTATGCAGTTGAGAAAGGTAGTTTTAAATTTTTCAGTAGGTATTCAAGTTTTTTATTGACTGTAGAACCAAGGAAGCAAGTTCCCATTTTTGAAGTCCTTGCTGGGAGAGCAAGATCCAACATGCAGATGATCTGACACAAATAGGGACAAGTAATAGGCCCAAGCACCAAATCATGCTGTCCGCATCTCGAGTCCCAATACTGAATTTTCTTCCCTTATGAACTGATTCATTCCTCTGCATCTCTATTTGCGGTGATGACTTTTCCAGGTGATGACCGGCACCGTGGAGAACGCCAATGGTTACCCCCTGCTCAACACCATGAGGTGCCACAGACCCGCGGCCCCCTGGTTCGTGAACATGGCCGCATGCAGGACCATCCGATTGCTCACCATGGCCTCGTCTCCGACCCCGTCTCCGATGTACGACCCCCGATTCACGGGCAACCCGGACACGCAATGGGGCGCCCAATGCGGCAACAGCACTCACCTCGAGGCCGCCACGGCCATGCAATGGAATTACAATTATCGCCTCTTCGAGACCATGATTTGCTGTCGGATACAGTATACTTGAAATGGGCCATATATATATATACCGCGTGTAACTGTACAGTATATGGAATCATGCTGCCCTTTCTGGAGCTTCAGTTTCTTTCTCGGGTCGCGAAGCAGGATTTATGCACCAGTGGCGTCATCTATGAGAGGAGACAGTAACAGAAAACGAATATTTTCCATTATATCCCCTGTCCTAGAAACTAACTCTACGTTGAAAAGGTCGACGTTTCCGAACAAAGTGAAGTTTTAATGCTAAATTAGGAAATTAGAATTCGAAATCTTTTTTGAGAAAAATGTAAGATGTAAGATCAGTCAAGTCAGGTTTTAAAAAAATGAAAAGGAAACACAGCAGTCAGCCGGTTGCCCAGCCTGCCCCCATTTATTAGGGGCTGAGGTTTTAAGGATCTTTGTATTTCACAACAGAATTTGAACAATTTCTTTGACTGACAGACAGTTTTTAAAGAAGCAAGATTTTTGCAGAGACAAATTGGGTTATACACTCCAAGCAGATTCTCAACTTGATACAAACGCTTCGATAAATAACAGCCGAATGATGATTTTCTTCTGATTTCATCTTCTTTTATTAATTTGCGTATGTAATTCTTTCTGGCTTTTGATCCTCCTTTCTCCTCTTTTGTCATTGGTTCCCGCTGTTGCCATCTGGTCTGTGGCAGTTGCATCTTCTTGTCCTTGGACTTCGAGATCACTTTTTTGTAACGGTATTTTGTTGACTAAATTGCTGTGATAAATATTTATTTATCATTTTTTTATTTTTGGGATATTTTTCCGGGACATCCCCGTCCTCACCTGAAATCAAGCCTTTCCTGACGAAATTCTAGAAAAAATTTACTCAAACTATTACATGGGATATGGTATGAAGTGAAATCCAACCTACAGAGCTCAAATTCCACGAGTTGATATTCCAATTATGTACTTCATGCCTGCGCTGATTATCTTACCACAAATACTTAATTAGAAATACACAGGACATAATACATACAAACAAACAAGTACGTTATACGAACATGATGTGAACATTTCCAAGGCGCTTCAGAACCTATTTTTGGTCGGACAACTATTTGGCGTGATTTTTCAACTTAATTTTTTGCGGTCTGGAAAATATATTATTTGGCGTTAGATTGCTATTTCTTTAAAAAAAAAGAATGCCCCTCTGCAATAAATATATGGAACCTGAGCAAGTGAAGTTATGCATTTATACCGCTTAAAGGTGTTAATTTTTTGGCCTAGCGTACCCAGTTTCCACAGCTTGATACTCACTGGGACAGGGAAAGAAAATTTAAAAATGGAAGAACATTCAAAAAAATATATAGCTGAATGTATCTCTCATGGATGTCGCCAGGGCGCATGGCACTGCTCTGAAAGGAATTATTCCCTCCTTATTGAGACTATGATGCTGCTTGTGTTACCTTGCCTTTTCAATTCTGTTTCCACCGTTTTTTTTTTCTCATTTTTTTGATGATTCAAACTGTTCTTGTAGATCCTCTTGATTTTGGTTCTCTGATGGTGAGTGAATACGTCATTTTACACTCCCCAAAAGTCACTGCGTATTCGTTTTACATCTTGATTTCTTCACTTGACAAAACGGCCTATGCATTTCACAGCTTATGAGTATAATTGGGATGCATCGAGTGAAAAATTAGCCTTTAAAATTATTTACGCTTGACGAACTCGAGCAGAGAAAAACTTTGTGTTTGTTTTCACTCGGTCCGCGTTTCGCAGAGCTAAAGAGCTGTTTGGGGGCTTAAAAATATCAAAATATTGTTCAAAAAACGTACACCGTCTCAAATAAAGAAATTACATGCTGTCATTATTCTTTAGCCAAAATACATCTTGTGAACTGAATCAATCAATGTTGCGCTTCTCGTCATCTTATTGGGACACTTTATTCTATTATGTATAAGAAATTAAGTAATATTTGTCATCTGCGCGCCTGTATTTTGGCTTTTGGATTCATTTTCATTCTGAAATTTCAGGTTCAATGTGCTCTTCTTTGGCAAAGGTTTTTCTGTCATTTCAAAGTTGAGAAAAATCTTTTTACTTCATTTCTTTTAGACTTTATTGATCAACTTTCCAAGCTTGATAAGAGCTGATTAAATTATTAATCCCCTTGAAGTCCATCAAAAATATGTGACCGAGTTTATGCAGGCGTTCCCGCATCAATGTGGAATGAGAATTGCACTACCAAATTTATAAGTACAGTACAGTGCCTCACACTATCTATTCTTCAACATCATTCCTGTTCGGATATTTTTTCAGGCTCTGGAATCTTCCTAAACAAGTAGTAGAGCGTCCGCAGTTCGGACAAAAAAAACAAAAAAAATGAAAAAATGATTGCAGAAGTGGGATTTGAACCCATGCCTGCAGAACCAGACTGTGACCTGAACGCAGTGCCTTAGTTAGACCAAATGGCCATCCTGACAACTTAATGTTAATTGATGTGTTTTCAAGTAGGCAAATTAATTCAAGGTGCAAAAGGCCACAGACACACGTTACACCATGTCCTTATTATTCCCCCAGACCCCTGTAGGATCCTACTGGTTGTTCCTCCAACTGCGGACTTTAACTCATTGTCTATTGTTCCGCATGCATGGATGAAAAAAAAATTAGTAGATTAAAAAATTAATCTAAAAAACCCCGATTTCAAAAAGAAAAAAATAACCTTAAACGTGGTGCGCATCTATTTCATTTGTATTTCACTTCTTCCCAACAATCTCCATGCGCACCACGTTTAAGGTTATTTTTTGCTTTTTGAAAACGTGGTTTTTTAGATTAATTTTTTAATCTACTATAATTATTTTATTCTTTTTAAAAAATATTCTTAAAATTAATTTTTTCACAAAAGATTGCATTGTCATCAGTTTCTAGGCTATCCTGAAAGTTTCAGCTTGATAGCTAGTCGGGAAGTGAGTGAAATTTGAGTTTCAAAATTTGATCCGGACAAACAAACAGACAAGAAAGTGAGTTAATAAAAACGTGTTAATTAATTAGAAAAAAAAATGTTCCAGGGGGTGGGATTGAACTCGGACCTCTGCGACCAATTCAGTTCACCATGGGTTTTTTTCTTGGGGCCAAGGAAAACCTGCTCAAAGTTTTATTATAGAAATCTACTATAATTATTTTATTCTTTTTAAAAAATATTCTTAAAATTAATTTTTTCACAAAAGATTGCATTGTCATCAGTTTCTAGGCTATCCTGAAAGTTTCAGCTTGATAGCTAGTCGGGAAGTGAGTGAAATTTGAGTTTCAAAATTTGATCCGGACAAACAAACAGACAAGAAAGTGAGTTAATAATTAATCAGAAAAAAAATGTTCCAGGGGGTGGGATTGAACTCGGACCTCTGCAACCAATTCAGTTCACCATGGGCTTTTTTCTTGGGGCCAAGGAAAACCTGCTCAAAGTTTTATTATTGAAATCTACTATAATTATTTTATTCTTTTCAAAAAATATTCTTAAAATAATTTTTTCACAAAAGATTGCATTGTCATCAGTTTCTAGGCTATCCTGAAAGTTTCAGCTTGATAGCTAGTGGGGAAGTGAGTGAAATTTGAGTTTCAAAATTTGATCTGGACAAACAGACAGACAGACAAGAAAGTGAGTTCATAAAAACGTGGTAAAATGCCTTTATTCATGAAACATGAGTCTCAAACATTCATCTGTTCATTCGGGGAAACTGTATCTGTGGAACCCATCGAAGGCCCGAGCATACAAAAAGACCTCGAGGTCCCCCAGTAAAACACTTGTCAGGCTATTACGACCCGCTGAAACTCTCAAGTTCGCGAGTTCACATCGTTTATGCCTTCAGCAAGGATTCGTTTTAATTACAATACCGACTGTTACTCGTCGCATTCGTTACTTTCAAGCAAACAATCCCGCCCACAACAAAAGAACGACATACAACCTGGATCCTCAGCTTCTGGCGGAAATGGCCGAGCTCGGCGAGATGCGTAAGAGGTATCGACTCAGCGTGGACGCCGTCGAGTTTGTGCCAGGCCAAAACCAGCACCTGATCCGCTCCGTGGCGCCGGTCATCCCCTTTGGACAGCCGCTGTATCCGCACTTGGGCGACGATATCAGGCATGGTGAGATAATCGTATTACAATTGAAATCACCCCCTCCCTGAAATTCCATCTGTTTCATACTTTTTAACCCAGTGGATGGTGAAGGGTCCCTAACCATCCTGTGGCAAATTCGTTTTTTATTTTTTATTTTTATTTGGCAGGAGGGGCATTTCAGTTTGACCAAAGGTCACTGAAGAATTGAAAAAATATAGTGTATTTTTTCTTGACTTAGGCCTCGGTTCAAGAATCCCACATTTTTAAAATATGCAATGCACAGCATCATTTTTTCATTTAAAAATATTTGCGAATACATCTTTCTGCTACAATAAGTTTTGCTGATGTTCTGGACTACAGTAGAATGCTCCAAATTGTCGCAAAATCCTCGTTATCGCATCACTCAAACGCTCGCTCTAAAGAAACACAAGATTTTCAGCTAATTCTGACTTGAGGATACTCCGCAAATAATTTCTTTGCGCAGGCGCCGGTGACAATGGAAGCGAGGAGTTCGCCCGCAACACTGTCAACCATCACCACCACCACCACCACCACGGATAGCGAAAGCACATCCTCGTTATCTTCGTTACTCTGGCTAGATGTCGCTATAAGATTTCCGCCTCTGTTTTAATAAACCCTGGTGGTCTTCGACTCGTACTCAGACTTCGCTTTACTCGGCTTCCATTCGCGAATAATTTCTACGGATGCGCTCAGGCATCCGGTTTCCAATAAGTCAACATTTCAAGTTGGGGAAGAGCAGTTATTCATTGCGTCAGTGCTGTGTATGCATATGCTGTGTTTCTTCCTTCTACTGTTACTGTATTATTGGCAGGTCGTCATTTTAAACGAACTGTTTTTGCTCCGGCAGCAGGGACTCGAACTGAAGAGGGCAACTTGGCGAGACACGCTGTTCAAATAACGGAAAACTCGCCCACGCCTGCTGGGCTTTCGCAGGAATCAGCGTGAACGCATGAAGCCGGAGAAAGTGAAGCGAGACCTCCTGGTGGATACTCACGAAATTTCCCAACCTTGTACTGGCTAAATTCTTTAGCGGGACTCGCTTTAAATTGGACGACGATTTTCGAATTGTGCTGAAAAACTGAAAAAATCGTTTTTAAGGGGGATTTTTTGGGGTACTTTTAGGGAAGCAGTTCTGATTGAATATGTCATAGGAAATCAGAATTAGGTTTCCCAGACAAAGTAGAATTTTATGAGAGGTTTCTCAGTCAACAAAAAGAAAGCAAACACAAAAATCAGCTGGTTTCCCAGCCTGCCTCTTTTTAATAGTGTGGCTGAAAGTAACATTTGACTGTAATTCAGTATGGTTGAATAGAAATCAATATAAGTACAGAACCATCACACTGGCTGGTATCCTTTAGAACCAACAGGCAACCAAATGCTTCTAAATTCAGGAGCTGAGTGTAGTGGCTGTTCTAACCTTAGATTGTTCTCCCAACATCATTTTTATTTGGGATCATTTTTATTTTATCTGGCCGTATATGGCACTTATATTACTATTATTTTCATTTAAAAATTGGGATACAGTTGATGCATTCCAATTCCCAATACAGCTCCAACAAAAATCAAATAATGACCTGGGTGAGTTGTTAACTCCTTGTTAGTCCCTAAATTCCATCTTATTTCATGGAACTCAGGTTGAAAAAGAAACAAAAGAGTGAGACCCTGAAATACATAACAAGGTGGTGCATGTACCTTGTCTCTATCTATATGTTGGATCACATTTTCCCAGTGACTTCAATGGGAACTTATTTACTGTAAT